ACACACACGGATGCACACACGCACACACGCACACACGCACACACACACACATATATATATATATATATATATATATATATATATATATATATAATAGTGAACATTAAGTGAACACTCAGAGGCGACAGGCTGTTTCATGCTTGATGCAATCGTCAGGCCGCCTGACGATTGCGTCAAGCATGAAATAACCTGTCGCCTCTGAGTGTACAATTTCCAATGTTCACTTATATATTTATATTTACATACACTCTATCTCTGATGATGAGCAATTTATCCCATAATATAGCAGGGCTTAAAACTATATTCCTTCATACATATATATATATATATATATATATATTTATATATATATATATATATATCGATTTACTAGGCGTAGCTTAGATGTGTCACAAGGCCGCAGGTATGGATCATTCAGTGAGGATCGATGTCACTACACTGTCGTAACTGATCTGCGAGAAAGCCTAGTTAATCGTTACACTACATCGAAGTGTCCCCATTAGACTGACAGACAGATATACTATAAAGACTGCTCTCTGTGTATGTTATTTAGATAGATAGATAGATAGATAGATAGATAGATAGATAGATAGATAGATATGAATATGTATGTGTGTGTGTGTGTGTGATCAAAGGTTTTAGTGCTTTTTGGACTGTCATGAGTGAAACTTTTCTATCACGTGCCAAACTTCTTATGGTTTGAGTTGGATCTTTTCTAATTGATCTCCTTAGCTCTAAGTTGAAATGATGATCCCTATTCCTGTTGTGACCTCCTGATCCAGTTTTCCTTTCTACTATTATTTATTCACCGTTCTCTTGATGGTTCTTGAATGGTCTTTGAAGATGGAAGCCAGAGTATGAATGTTGGTACCATTACTGAAGATCTGAATGATCTATTCCTCTCACCATTGTTCAGTTAAAAATCAGTGAGGCTTACACAAAAGTATTTTAATCTTTTCTCTTTCTAACTGAATTACCTAAAAGGGATTTTTCCGTGATTCTTAAGACAAATGCTTGTCAAGATGGCTAAACCTCTTATCTGAAAAACTGGAAAAAAGAAACTCAATCAGTTTAGTGATGTTTTTGATAATAAATATTTTGTAAAATGGACAATTAAGCTGTAACAAAAAATCTTAAATTTTGCTGGTACATACATGCATATATATATATATATATATATATATATATATATATGATTCAATGTATTTTCTTTCACTTCGAGAAATGTTTCTAAAACAGAAACTCATGGTTTACGTCAATCATAGCATGGGTGAAAGAGCATCTTGACGTGGAGTAATGATATTTTTTTCAGAAAAATTACAACTGAGCAGTGAGTTCAGTCCTCACTGGGTGCCCCATACTTTCGGCCTTGGGCCACATCTAAACTACACATAGAAAATCACCATCACATGGGCCCCAAATTTATATCCCAGACCAAGAAGTGATTTATTGAGTCAAGAAACATATTTCTCTATTTTACGTCGTCATCACTTACTTCAAGACAACTATTCGCTCGACAAATAGAATTCTGCAGCTAGCTCATTGTAATCTTAACTTTATGTTGTCGGTCGACCGAAGAACTTTTCAACTGTCGTTCATTGTTGATTGCTAGCGCTTATATATATTCAAATATCGACCCGACCAGTGTTTATATATAGACTCAAATACATCTTCAGCCAAGGTTTAATTATCGACTCAAATATAAATATGACCAATACTTACTTATAGACTCAATTTATAACACGAGACTCAAATAAAATAAAAACTTATTTCCAGAGAAAATAAGCAACTCAAATGTAGCGGTTAAAAAAACTTAGACAGAAAGAAAAGCTTGATTTTGCCTTTAAGAAGGGTAAGATTAGTTATGTACCATGCATGATACACGCGGCAGATTTTTTTCCCGCAGTAGGTTGTCATTTCTTTCTGCCAGTTGCCATTCAAGGCTATAGAACCCGGTATACCCTGTTATTTATCAAAAACTGGAGGGAGAAGAAGAGGATAATACATACCTTTCCCAAGGGTATTAACACGTAAGTGAATGTAATGGATTCAAATGGGATCGAACATTGGCTCTCTAATTCCTCAACCCATTACTCCACTGTGCCTTCTAGGATCAATTTCTTGCAATAACTTTGTTGGACATAAAGGAGAGAACTGTAATTTTTTAAGCATTCAGCAACTGTTTTAAAAAACATCTTTAAAGTTATCATAAAAACATTTAGTCATATTAATAAGGGGAGATCTGGCTGTGTATCCGATAAATGTATAAAGTCATATTATGTTTTTATTATATGTGAGAAGAACGGAGATTACGAGTTTAATAGAATGTTTCACATAAACTTGCTATCACGCTACTACAAATATCAGAACTGTGTTTGTTTTTTAGTTGTCTTTTTTTTTTTAGTTTTTTTTTTTTTACGTTTACGTTAGAATTACTGTTATACTACTCTCCGGTCACTTTTCTCGCCATCACCCGGCCTTGTGTTAAATGATAGAACATTTATCATCAAAAAATATCTAATATGTTTTCTCATTAATTTTTCCCCTAATGTACTCGCCCATACAAAGCCGTTTTGCCGTGACCCGAGTAAAGACATTTTTCAAGATGGCTGCCGTTTAAGACAAGCAATCGAATCAAATGTGTTGTCGGGGACGATAACACGAACAAACAATGTCGAACATGGAACGAACAGAAAATAAATAAGAGACGGCTGCAAGGCAGCGATAGAAAATGGCGTGAATATAGGCGGAGGTGACGACAGACAAGAAATTCAATCAAAAAGGAAGGTGTAAGACGTTAGAAAAACAAAGATGGTGGGAAACGCGGAACAGTTCTTTCTGATATTTTCAGTCTCTCCCACACTTCTTCTCCCCCCCTCTCCCTCTCTCTCTCTCTCTCTCTCTCTCTCTCTCTCTCTCTCATCACTTACTAAAGGAAATCCTTTCCTTATCTCTCTGGTTCCGTAATTATGTCTTTTATAAAGTTTTGTCTTTTCTTTTTTAATCTTATTTTTCTTATTTACTTTTACCGCCACTGCCATTAATATTTTGTCGATTTAAGAGACGTAAACACCCGCTTCCTCGAGCTGTTAGCGACATTTGAGTAAACGTGTCAATATTGACAGTCTCGGCGCGTTCGATTAGGGACGAGAAAGGTTTGGCGGGAAACGAGAGCCATAATAGGGATGAGAGAATCTGGAACTGTTGCGATTTCGCATCAAGGCCAGTGGTTAATGCCCGAGCTTGTACCAAAACATTGAATATTGATTTTCTCGATGGGCAGGCCTTTTCTAGCTGAACATTTAATACAATTTCCAAAATTCTATATATGACCGTGTACCAGACTTGGGTGTAAGAGAGAGAATTCTAAAAGTGGTAGTCTGCGTGATTTATTCATGCCTATGGAAAGGCTGCCTTTTAACAAAGCCGAAGAAACTGCTACGCCTGCTGCGGGGAACGTTGTTTCACTACGTCTTGCCTAAGAGTACGTTCATTTGTGAATATCGATGCCGATGATATAACGATATATTTGTGCAACCAGCAAAACTCGTGAAGACCCGAAATTGACAGCTGATTTCTTATTCAATCTAGCTGTAACGTATCATTGGGGAAAAAACTGGCTGGTTACATTCAGTACCTCGAAAACGAAATTAGTTGCATTCCATCATAGCCGATTAGACCTCAAACTATCACCAGTGTTATGGTCCAAGTTCCTTGTACCACGGTGATGGTCCACGGTTAGAACCAATGAAAGAATTACACGAACACAGGTATGGAATACAAAGATATATTATAGCGGAAATATAATACAAAGAAGTAGAAGTATCAGTAATGACTATCAGATTTGGTTAGAGTGAACTATGTTGTCTCGACAAGTATCACTATTCCAATGTCCTTACAATATGCTCTCAATTATCTCTTCTTACAATATCCTAATACCTCTTGAGAGGCGCAGTATTTATAATGTCAGGAATAGTCCACTATTATTAAGGTAAGATTCTATAACAACCAGTCACAATGAAGCTCCATGCTTTCAGAGGCTATCGGGCCTTAAACTAACCCCAGATTTCATATATACGTCCATCATTAAAAATTCAGGAAAAAATGGCCGGTTCCCTGTACCGCTCCAACAAATACCTGACTCCTCGTACTATCCTCTATCCTTACAAGAGCGAGATCAGACCTAAAATGGAGTATCGTTGTAATATTTGGGCAGGGGTTTGCCCAGCCCTCACTTCGAACCTCGATATGGCGCAAAGGCGTCTCTGAGTCTTTATGAGTGACACATTATTTTTCAACCTGCAACCCCGCTCTTAAAGACGAGATGTGGCAAGGATCTCACTGCTCTATTGCTACTTCCATGGAAAGTGCTGGGACGAACTGCATTCCTTGGTTGCGCTAATTCTAACCTTCACAGGACCCGCTATGCCACACCCAATTTAGTGAAACATCCTCATTCGCCCCGTATTCAATTGATGAGAAATTCCACTCAAGCAGCTTCTTCCCGCGAATAACTGCTTTGAATCATTACAATCTTAACCATTTTCAAATATAAAGTTAACCGTTATCTTTCCAACATATACGCATAAACTATGCCTCTTATTCTGTAACCCTCTATCTCGAGTGGCTCCCGGGTCTTTTATAATGTGAACCTCACTGTAAAAAAATTCTCGTCAGAATCTCTCTTGTACATTTATAAATCTACCATTCGTCCGTTGCCATATCTGAGATGGTGAGCTGGACTCGAGATTCATGAGAAAAGCCATAGAAGCCATAGAAGTGTCTAGAATACAATCGATACAGACCAGACTTCTCGACGCCAGTCACTTTATCACCAACGTGACGTGACTTCCATCTGTCTGTTCTACTAATATTTTCATGCCAACTGCCCGGATAAGTTGTTTTTTTTTTCATGAATTTAAACGTGCTACTAGGTTGATATCTAGGTCTCATGATTTTACTCTTGAACTAAATTGATACAACAGCCACTTCTATTCTAACAGGGTTTTTTTCTCGCACTTCCCACCTGTGGAACTTCCTTCCGATTTCTTGCTTCCCAAATAAATAAAATCTTCAAAAATGAAAATGCAACGTCAATCGCCATCTCCCGTCTTCTTGAAGCCTGTTCATTTTTAGCCCTTTCCCCATCCCTAGTTTCAATCTTCTCATTCTTATTCACCCACTGTAAACCCCTGTGTTCTGGTGGCATTGCCGCCATGCTTGGGAGTGAAACTATTTTTTAAAAAAGAAAAGAAAAAAGTCTTATCCACTTCATGCCACCCCACTGAAGAAGTCTCGCTTTACTCAAAAGAAACTATGTTAAGAGGTCACGCTCTCTTGACATAGCATAAGATTCTACCTAAATAAATACATTTGGCCAGCAAGTAGTACAGACATTTGACAGTACCATTTGTGAGCAGTAACAAGTTTGAGCCAGTGTACTGTCTCACAGGAAGACTAAGATGACTACGGTGGAAACTAAAAAGTATTTTTTTTTAATCAATTCACCCCAAGCAAGCTGATAATGCCACTAAGCCACAAGGGACTACTGGGAGTACAAGTGAATGAATAGTCTGTAAAGGAACCAGAAACCCAATCCTGAACAGACAACAATGTGCACTCCTTAAAATGGAAAAAGAACATCGCTGTGCGATGTGTTTGAAACATAGGTAACCACTAAAAATCCGAAGTAAACATCCGTTTTTATATTAAACAAATTGTACTGTGTCTATCAGATGGCGCAGTCGAAAAATCTTAATAAAAATGTGCTCTCCGGCAGGGTTCAAATCTATTTCTGCCTTTGTAGTTTACTTTTTTGCATGATTTCAACTTTGGTTATTGTTGTAAACTAGGAAGGATTACTGAATGAGGAATAACCAAAACGGACGTTGGAAATGAAATGGTAATCTTTATAACTTCAACAAAATACAATACTCGCCAGCGGCGTAAAGTAGGTAAACTACTACTAGTGGTGGACTACATAGACATCATATTACCCACACTTACAGTAGTGTCCAACGTATTTATGAAAATTGGGACATACCCATTAGTGTTACTAGGTACGGTATATAACAGTCATAATGCTTATCAATCTGCTGCCAATGTTAACAGAGCCTGGATGGAGGGATCCCCTTGTGATCGGACAGTACGTTGCTGGTTTCTGAAGCTCCACGGTGGGGATACAAGTCTTAAAGATCAAGGTAGTGTAAGAAGTAGATTTGAAATTGACAATCAACATGTGAAAACACTAATCGAAGAAAACCGGCGTCAAAATGACAGAGAAATGTCTCCGATAATGGGTGTCGACATTTCAACAATATTGAACCATCTCAAGAAAATTGGTAAGCTGAAGAAACTGGACAAATAAGTTGCACAGAACTCAGTGAAAGTCAAGGAGTTCGACATTTTGAAGAGTGTTCGATACGGCATCTCAGAAATTTTGGATGATCAATTTCGTCATGGAATAATTATTAAAAGCAAAAGTAACATTGTAACTTCATGACAGAAATGTATAGACGTCCAGGGTTCCTATTTCGACTTATCTAAACACTGTTTAAATACATTAATTCAGGAATAAAAATTGAGTCTAAAATCGGACATTATTTTCCGAACAACATAATACCATGCAAGTGCAACCGGAGGAGAGCAGGTTGCGTAGTACATTTTGGATATTATCGTTCTAGGAGAGAACATCGCCCTCCTGTTTGGAGAAATGGAAGTAGAATGGATTAAATAATTTATTGAGTGCAAATGGCGCAAACGCCAAAAGCGAGCAAGAATTTTTAACTCGTACATTATGGTGCCATGGGAGAACACACACACACACACACACACGCACATATATATATATATATATATATATATATATATATATATATATATAGAGAGAGAGAGAGAAAAAAGGCGGGGAGATAATTGCCTCTGGTTGGTCTTATCGCGTGCCATTTCATCTAAAACAATGGCTGCCGGTGTCTTCCTATTAATCGCCTGGCGATGTATTTATAGGCAGAGTTTGATATCTATTAATTCAAAATCGCTGTATTGGAGATTAAGAATCCAACATGAGTGACTTTAAATATTAAAATATGTCTTCAGGTTGGAAGAGATTTGGCACGCGTCAGTAGAATTAATGAACTTATATTATATGTGCAATATAGATTAAAGCAATATATATATATATATATATATATATATATATATATATATATATATATATATGAATGTAATTATTTGAGAGTTGAGCATTGAATAAAAAATTATTATTTTTATCATTATATAAACAAGAAATGTCTTTTGTAAAAGAACAAAAACTTATAATTCCAACGGAATTTTTTCTTCAACTTCTTTCTTTAAGCAATTATCACGCGTTCAGCTTACGCAAACTCAATTCGGTCGAATATTTTGTTTTTGTTAATTTGAATTTATAACGTATACAAATAACTTAATCATTGTTTCATTCATTTCTCAATAGTGAGACAAGCAAAAGCTTTCTGAAATATA